GTAACTATATTGTATACCTAAAATGTACCAATAAACTTAATTTAAAAAATGGCAAATAAATATATAAAAAATGTTTTTAAAAAGATGATTATCTTGATTATTTCACAAGGGAATTACATCAAAACTTTTAAATTGTGCACTTTAAATGTATACAATGCACTGTACATCAATTATAACTCAATAGAACTAATTTTAAAACACTAAATTTACTTGGAATTCTAACCAATTTTATCTTCTTCAACGTGGACTCCTATTTTCTTATTTCCTTTGCCCTTATACCATCATTCACCATGAGACACATAACTAAAATGAATGAGTCTGAAGTGCTCAGGATTAGTTTCAGAGTAAAAAGGCTAGAATGGTTCATTTAACATCTAAAATTCCACCATGTATGTACTTTTTAGACAATAAAACCTTACTTGAGGTTTTCTCACCTGCTTTCTAAATCTTTTTGGAGGTTCAGCTTTTCACTTAAAAGTGCATCAATCTTGGAGTTTGATTCCTTGAGTTGATTCTGTAATGACTGGAACACATTACACAGAAAAATACTTAACTTTCCTAGGTATTTTACTTCAGAAAAATGATTTAGAAGTTAGTCTCCATACCAGTAGAAGGCCTTTGTAAGTTGGTGAGCCATTCAGATTTCTATAACCTTTTTCTTCTTCTGATTGACTTTCATCTTTTTTATATTGCCTATAAAAAGACAAATGCAATGTACTTCTCATTAAAAGTCTACCTCTAAAATATCTAATAAAAATTAAACCAATCTACTGTTTAATAAACTAAACAAGAATTATGCAAAAATTACAATTAATCTAAACTTCCTCAGTCTCAGAATATTAGAACACATTTTTACCTACTATTGTATGATCTATTCACTAACTCTACTTAGAATACATGAGGACCAGAACTTGGTCTTGTTCACCCGTATCTCACTGCCTAGAAGAGTATGGCATATGAGGGGGTGAAAAAAATACTTGTTGAATGAATAAACAAACATAACACATGTAAAACATCCATGACCTTTTCAAAATATTCTCTATATACATTTTTCCTTCTAGTAATTTAAGGACACCCAAAAAAAAATGTATAAAAAAAGTAGAAAACATAAGTGCACAAGGCCACAGACTTAACAGTCTTGATTTAAGACTTGGCACCATCATTAAACAGTTGTTACCTGAACAGATCAATCTCAGAATTTGTTTTCTCGGGCCAGGGATTTAGCTCAGTGGTTCTGGCGCCTGCCTCACAAGCACAAGGTCTCGAGTTCGATCCCCAGTAACCGTCCCCCCAAAAATAATTTGTTTTCTCATCCTGTAAACAGGAACATTGTCTTATCTAACTCACAAGATTGGTGTGAAAATAAAAGATATTAAAGTGAAAATAAAAGATACTGAAGCACTCTAAACTGCAAGGTGCTAGAAAATCATTATTACAATCTTGTTGAACACCAGGTGTGGTAGTGTATGCCTGTAATCCCAGCACTTGGAAGACAGGCAGGAGGATCACTATAAGTTCGAGGCCAGCCTGGGCTACATAGTGAGTTCAAGGCCAGCGTGAACTACATAGCGAAACCCTGTCTCAAAACAAATACAATGACAAAACCAAAATCAAACAAAACTTCCAATATTTTGATGAACACTGTGCTGTCTTGTATGGGAACCTCTAGCTAACCTGTGGCTAATAACCATTTGAAAAACTAATAATAATACCTACCTGGCAAGGGAGACACCATGATCATGAAATACTATTAATACAACTAAAGAATTGAACTTTTATTTTACTTTAATTAAACTTCAAATTCAAAAGCAGAACCAGTGCAAAGTATTTTTCCATTAAACAACTTTATTGTTTAGGACTACATTTCATTTTAACTACTGTGTCACCTGAGGGACTCTTGTAGTCTGATGTATAATGGTACATGCATGTATGTTTCTACATACGAACATCATTAGTGTTAATGGATTAATTCAGCCAAATGATTTATTCCTACAGATCAATATATAGGCCAATATATCAGGCCAAAGACCTGAGAGCAGCTGATGTTTCATTCTTGAGGCCAAATGAAATCTGAAGTCAGAATTTCTCAAGGGACCTCAGTCTCTGCTCTTGAGCCCTTCAGTGGATGAGACCTCCCACATTATGAACAGTAACCTGCTTAGCTCAAAGTCTTCTGACTCAAGTGCTAATTGCATCTAAACAATAATTCACGGTAACATCTCGATGGTATTTTACTAAACTGGTAGGTACGAACCATAGCCCACTCAAACTGATACATGAAACTAACCATCACAGTCTGAGTAAAGAGAAAGAAAAATGAAGAATTTCATTGTTTAATAAGTTGTACACATTTATACTCATAGAGTCAGGAAATAATGGATATGAGTCAAGCAGGTTAGGTGGGGACTATGCAAATTGCAAAACTATGTACCATCTAAAGAAGGCAGCCAGACAGGAAGATGAGTCTAGTGTCCCTAACTAATTTGACTTTTCAAATTAGAAGCTGGAAGATTTGATTTATAAATGAAATCAAGTTTTTAATGTTTACAGTTAATTCAGTATTCTAGAAATTATATAGTCTGAATACCAGTTTTAACTTTGGTATATGTCTTTCATAAACTCTAATCTAGATTCAGGTGTTGGCAAACTTTTTCTGTAAAGGGTTGGGCTGTAATTATTTTAGATCATGCGGTCTTTGTCACAACTACTGACTTCTGTTGTAGCACAGAATCAGCCATCGATAATACATAAATGAATTGGCATAACTGTTTTCCAGTAAAATTAGTTATAAAAACCCAGAACTTCCTGGTTATATATGACATGAGGGCAGCAGTTTGCTGACCTCTAATCTAGGTGATAAAGAGAAAAAGGTTGGGGTTTTAAATAAGAGTAGAGAAGATTTAACATAGCCATCATGAAATATTTTATGTAGAATATAGTATGAGATGTGTCTCTAGAGTTCTGGAAACCAGGTTTTCTATGTCAGATGATGAAAGTAGGCTATTGCAGTGGTAATAATGAATTTTGTTGTCTAAATTTATAGCGAAAATCTGGGGCTGAAAAATGTGAGACGTGGGGGAGAGGAATCACTTTTTTTTTTTTTTTTTTGACAGGACCTCACCATGTAGTTCAGACCAGCCTTGAACTCACTATGCAGCCCAGGCTGGACCTGAACTTGCCATGATCCTCCTGCCTCAGCCTCCCAAGTGCTGGGATCACAGGCATGGGCCACCATGCCCAGCCCACCCTCTCACTTGAGATAGACCACTGATGAAAGGCTTGCACAGTGAAATTATTTGGCCTGTACAGAGCAAGTTTGAGTCAGATATTTTGGGTTTGTTGGTTTGTGGTGCTGGGTCCTCAGATGATTCATGTTCCTGGCTTGTCCAAACTAAAGTGCACCTTGGGCTCCACAATCACAGCTTCACACACCACCCTCTCAGGGGTACACTGCCTGGCCTCCCAGGCCTTCTTCTGAAATCTTTGTGGAAGCCTTCTTGACCCCACATTCTGCATGCACCTAAAACCAGTGCCTCATGGATGATTCCAGGGGTCTGCCACCAGCTGGAGCAGTAGTCAGGCTTCCTTCTCTATCGGCTGTAGGGGTCAACTGCGAGGATCACTGAGCACTCTGAATCCAAACCCAAAGAACAAATTCTCTAAGCTGCTGCCATTCTGGAACATGATTTTCTGGGACTTTCTTCTCAAAACAAAGTCTTTTAGCTTTGGATCTCTGAAGCTGCAAAGGCTAGAGTCTTGCTGCTTCTTGTGATGAACCTCAGGCCATCTTTTCTATTCTCCTTTTCTTTGTCAGCAAAGATCCTTTCTTTATCCTCTGCTCTATCTTTCCAGGCCACAGCTTTACTGGGGCTTCCTTTCTGGCCAAATTAAAAATGTTTTAAATCATTGTGCTGGGCTCTTTGCCCTTGATTCCCAACAAAGCACTGGCTAAAAGCCCCCAACAGCAGCCATCCCACCACCTCAACATTAGACTGCCTTGAAATTTCTTCTGCCAGATTAATTAGTCTGCTGCCTTTAATATGTCTCAGGAAATCTCTGGACACAAGCAAAATGCAGACAAACTTTCTGCCAAGGCATAATATACATTGTCTGGAGTCCAACAGCCTATGCAGTACTTCTTCTCAGCAGAACCTCCTAAGCCTGGTCTTTACTGGCTTTCTGGTCTTCTGAGCTCTGACCAGAATCTCCCATATAGTATAGCCTAAGGTGTTTCAGCTCTACTTTTTCAGCTGGCATCTCTGAACCTTTCCAAACTCTTCCCACAGGCCAATGCCAAAAGCTCCTAAACCACACAGTCAGGTACAGTCACAGCAACGGCTCCACTTCTCTGGTACCAAATTCTGCGTTACTTTTCTTGTTGCTGAGACAAAATACCTGACACTCAAAGTTAAAGGAAGAAAAGGTTTATTTAGCTCACAATTTGTAGAGGTTTCAGTCCATAATTGGCTGGCTCCAAGGTAGGGCGACATATGGCAGGGGGGCAACAGTTCATGGCAGTAGAAGACAGCAAAAGCAAACAAGGGACCTTAATAGCATCTTTCTGCCCCTTTTATCTTTCCTGGCTACTTAGGGCAGCTAGCACTCACACCCTTAATCCTAGTGCCCTTGATCCTGGCATTGCACCATGAATCAATTTCAGTTCCACACACTCTAGATCCAGCCGTCTCTGAAAAAGCCCCACCTACCATGAGGTTTTGGGGGGACATCTAAACACAAGTCACACCACCTAGTCACTCCAACCAAAACTGATCTCCTGTTCTAGACCCCTACAGCATTTACTGTCTGTACAATTTTTTGTAAACTCAATATGACATTGTGTATTAGTGTTTAAATCTTATGTTATTTTTCTTATTAATGTGTTTACATTTTGTCTCTCTTATTGGACTGGAAGCTGCAAGGAGGTAATTATTCATACCTTTGTGTGTGGATTTTTCTAATTTTAGATTCATAGTAGTCAATTAGGCAAAGCAACCTAAAAAACAAAAGAGACATTGAATTACTGTTATAATAGTTATTATACCATCACTATTCTCTCTATCCAATTTCAAATTATAGTGATAAAGGTACAGATTATCTGTCAGGCTTTAACACTTTCCTGCCAACTTGAACCACTGGTGGTACATGCATGACTGTCCCATCGGGCAGCTTGCACCACCAATGGTACATGCATGACTATCACATCAGGTGGCTCTACCACCCAATGGAACTGTCCCATGCCACCTGACAAACACTTATGCATGTAGTACTTGTGGTTCAGAACTGCTCAGCAGCAAAACACGTGAGTTGTTAGCTCTGTTGTGAACATTTTTTTTTTGCAGCAATCATCCTGCCTCAGCCTGCTAAGTGCTGAAATTACAGGCATAAGCCACCAGATCTGGCATAGGCTTTTAAAGTTTTAAATGATTTTTGCCAGAAGCAAATATACTGAATCATATTTTACCTTAACTTCAATGAACAGATTTTAAAGTAATCACACACATTGCATCTCAAGTGTATATTCTCCTTGTCTCAATATAATTCTACAGGTAGCAATTTTTTCACAAAAATATCTAAGAATGCAACTCTATGAAAATGGTTCACTGGATTATTATGAGTGAAGAAACAGAAACCATGTGTCCTTCAGTGGAGAAAAGGTTAAATTACGACACATTATTTCTTACAATGGATATATATGCAGTATTGGAAGAAAAAATATAAATTTGCATGTCCTAATAAGACACGAGAGGGAGGGCCAGGGATTTAGCTCAGTGGTTCCACTGCCTGCCTCGTAAAAGCAAGGACCCAAGTTCGATCCTGGATACCAAAAACAAAACAAAAACAAAAACAAACAAAAAGAATTGAGCGGGGGGGGGGGGAAGTGTTGTATAATCAAGTGTATAAAATTATTCTACTTTTGTCTAAAAAAAGAAAAAACTTATATATGAATTTATATATGTATTGAAAAAGAATTCTATGGCCTCTTAACTGAGAGATAATTGTGACTTAGAGGGCATACGGAAGGGCGGTGTTAGTCATCGCATTGTCTAAGATGGGGAGGGACTGGAATGCTAAAAGTTCATCAATGAATATACAAAACAATTAAGAGTGTCATGTACTCTGTGCTCCAGACCTTGTGGATTACTTGCCATTCTCAAATTTTTCCTGTAGTTGAAAACTTGTCTCTTATTTCCTATTAAAATTCTACAGTTCTAACAGTCTAGCTGAGGTTACTTCCTTCATGAAGCCCATCTGGTGCTGGGTTCAATCCATGGTACTAGAAAATAAAATAGAGTGGACATCTCTGGCCCAGTCTATCTCTCAGATAATCATCCAGACCACCTATAGCTTTAACTTTTTACTTACACCTGATTTCATTTATTTTATAGTACAACAGAAACACCCAATCAGTATATTCTTGATCCTACTATATAAACATCTAAGACTGGTTAAAATGCAATCAGTTATATGTTAAGTGAAAAACATAAAGTGCTAGCTTTTGTACAAGAAGGGGGAATATGAATATAATATTCATACTGCTTGTATTGCTAAAAATAACACTAAACACTTAAAATTAATTACCTACAGGGGTAGATAAACTAGGGTTATGTAGAAGGTAAGGAATGAAAACAATTTCTCTGAATATAAATGCAGCTTTAGCTTTGAAATTATGTAAATGTTTTATGTATTCAAAGTAAAGTAAATGTAAAAGGCAATCTCAATAACTGAAAACACGGTGAAACAAATCTAACTGCTTAATTTAGTGATACAAACGCACAGAGAAAAGTATTTCAAGATACTTTGGACAACCATATTTTAAACATATCCATAGTGGAATATATTACTAATATCAAAGAGAACTGTAAAGAACTTTAAGTTTCATTCAATAGGCTTATTGTTAGCAAATATATTATTATTTTGAAAAGTTTTACTTATTATAGGATATAGCAAATAAGTAGTTATAATATTGTACTTAGGAATAATGATTTTCTGTGTAAAAGAATAGTTACAGGGTTGGGGTTACAGGTCAGTGGTCAAGAGCATGTGTACAGCTTGTGCGAGACCCTGGTTTCCACCCCTAACATCACAAAAATAATAAAAATGTCAAAATTTTAAGAAGTAAAATCAAGAGAGTTTAAAATACTATAATGTTCATGTAATGTGGAGAAAAAAATCTATAATGATTTGGCTAAAATTTTCCCCCAAAATATATAATTCCTAGTTCTACTGAAAAATCCAAAAGTCATTGACAACATAATAATCAATAAGCAACTCAACACCCATACAGTGGTTTATATACCATTTCTTAGTAAAAGGAATCAATTCTTTTGAAAAACGTCTGACAGTTAACTAGGAATTTATGGTGTTCGAAAAACTAGATATCCACATGAAGAATGAAACCAGACCACTATATAGCACCAGTTACAAAATCAACTCCATATTGAGGATTTGAAGCAAGGAAACTACTATAAGAAAACAGGAGAACTGCTTTGGGATATTGCAACAGGCAAAAGATTTTTTTGAAGAAGACCCCAAAAACATAGGAAACAAAAGCAAAAATAAACAGGATTACAGTCAACTACAGAGACTGGGGACAGGAAAAGAAATGGTCAACAGAGTGCAGACAACCTACAGAATAGAAAAAAATATTTGCAAACTATACACCTGAAAAGGGGTTGATAACCAGAATAGACCGAAATTTCAATAGCCAAAAGAGAGAGAAAGTGAGTGAGAGAGAGAGATAGAGAGAGAATAAGCAATAGATTTTAACAGATATTTCTTAAAACAGGATATACAATGGCTAAAAAGTATATGAAAAAAATGCTCAATTTCACTAATCATGAAATGCAAATGAAAATCACAATAAAATATCATCTCATCCCAATAAATAGGTATTACCAAAAAGACTAAAGGTAACAAGTCCTGGTGAGATGTAAAGAAAAGGGAACCTTGCACATTGTTGATGAGAATGTAAATTTATAGCTATTATGAAAAGCAGTATGAAGGTTCCTCAAAACATTAAAAACAGAACTACTGTTTGACCCAGAAATCTCACTACCAGCTATATATCCAAAGGGGATAAAATCAGTACGTCAAGAGACATGTGTACACCCATGTTCACTGCAGCATTATTTACAATAGCCAAAAACTAGAAACAACTAAGTGTTCAGAAACCAACGAGTGCACAATTTTATGTTTTTATTTACCTGTTAAAAATTAATTTTTAAAAACAGCTCTCAAAAATTAATTGGGAAATTAGTTAATTTTCAATGTTTAGTGTTATTTTTAGTAAATATCTACTTTTATTCCTCAAAAGAGTCCTAGGGCTAAAAAACTGTACAGGATGAGGAAAACAAAAAAAAGCAAAAGAGAGGGAGAATCCACTGATTGATAAGATACAACCACTCCCCAAGCTAAAATCAGTTTTTAAAAAACTGGATCTAGCTACATTATCATGTTGTAAGGTAAACATTACTGTCTATCCAAGACGCTATGAGGAACTCTTTTGCAGAGATAGGCAAACACTCTGTTTTGAGTGATAATTCGTTCTTCTTCCTCTTTTGTTAATCGACAGATATCCTTTTGCAAAGAAGCAATAGTCTGTTGCTGCTCCATTTGTTTTTTCTTGTAATGCTGGCACTTTGTCTGTAAGAAAAATTTTAAAAACAAAATTACGGTATGTATACTCAGAACATGCTGTCCTAATACTTACACAAGACATCTTCACAGTTTCTATTGAGGTGCTACTCAAGAATTACAAAAACTACAGCTTATAATTGAGTGCATTCAAGAATTCTTAATAAGGAATTTAAGAATATCAATAAAAGTCATATAATTTTATGTTTACATTTAGATGGAACGGGCAGAGACCAATATTAAGAATGTTCAAGAGAATCAGAAATGAAACTTAAGGTTCTTAAGTGATCAATGATAATGTAGGACTGAAAACAGTGTAGTCAGCTTGGGCATTCAGGCAATGTGGGAGACTGCAGACTCATAATTAAATCCATAATCAAGAAGTTATCATCAAGAAATAATCACTATAGACCCTAGGATTTATTCAAAGGAATCTCAGACATTCTCTTCCCTTATTTTAAGCAAGCTACTACTTGCCTGGTTTTCCCTTATTCTATAGTTTCTTTCCCTCAGCTTCAAAGCTCATTAGCAAAAGCTTGGTCATTCTTATTAATATAGTTGTATAAAGCTCAATGGTAAGCTTTTTCCTATATGGCCTGCACATTACAAACATATATTCTTTTCAAAAAAGGACACCCATATTTAAGCACATGTTCATCTGTCCATTGTATCCAGTTTGTTGAGACATAGCAATCTTCAAAGGGAAAAAGCTCTTGGCTGCTGGTACCATCACATCTTCTAGTAAGCATAGGTTACATGCAGAATTAATCCTCTACCTCAGGACTCCCTGGATGTCAGGTAATTTCTCTGCAGCCAGGTAATGAGGGTGCCAGCATTTGCTTGTATAAGTTAGTCATGAAACTAGAACCACTGAGTTTTGCGAAGTTGCAGGATATAAGAGCAGCATACAAAGATTAATTGTTTCTTAATTCAATCTATGATGCCAACAACATACTAATTTCAAAGCCAAAGGCATTATAATAAAAGAACTATATATCAATATCCACTATAAATATTGATGCAAAGATCCTCAACAAAACACTGACAAACCAAATTTAACAGTGTATGAAAAGGATTATACACTAGGTACAAAAGAGTTACTCCTGGAATGCTAGAATGATTCAACATAGGAAAAAAAAACCCACTACACATTAACAGAATGAAGGAAAAACCAGATAATCTCAATGTTCAGTCATCTGCAAACACTGCTGGGCAAAAGATAGCCCTGAAAGCTAACTTCACTTCTTTGAGTTTACTTTTCCCCCAAAGTCATGGAATATGCAAGGGAACCTTACTCCAAAGAGGACTTTATTTCCTTCTGTCAAGTGCTATACTGGAACTATCATTTCTCCAATTCCTTTATCTAAACTCTTGACTCGAAGTTCTCTTCTTCCACACAGGAGATTAGAAATTAGGTTATGACTCAGCTTACTCATTGGAATAAGATGCCTTCACCTTAGATTTCAAATGGTTCCCATATATACTTTTTTGAAATACTATGCCCTTTATAACATATCCAGGGACATAAAGAAAACACCATGAACTAGGACCTGAACAAACAAGACACAATAGATCAAACCTACAATGAACTTCTAATATTAGAATAGTCACATATTGACAACATAAAAACTATGCTACTATGCTTGAAGAAATAAAACAGAATTCCTGTTCTGTAAATGAGAGACTAGGTAATTCAGACCAACTCTCCCACTTAGAAACACTTTAAAAAGATGATCAAAATGTATTTTAAAAATCTGTTTGGAGTACTAACAAGGCAGTGAAAAATTATAGAGCTATGATCTTGGAGGAAAGGAAACAAAGTATGGTGTCTAGCTTCTGGAGACATATATCCTACATTTTGAGATATCTGAAAAGGTGACAAGGAAGTTATGAAAGTGAGCAAAGACAATTTATTTTATTTTTTATTCTATTTATTCTGTTTTACTTATTCTATTCTATTAGCCTGGCAGGACTATAGAAACAAAATTAGACACTGAGACCATGCAAAATAGAGATGGCCCTGGGGAAGCTCTCACCCTACATGCTAAGAGTAAGGTGAACTAGAACTATACCAGTTCTCTTTGGGACTGAAGCTTAGCTTCCCTTATCACAATCTCTGAAACTGGAGTAAGATGACCCCAAATTACTAGTGTATCTAGACGCCGATTAGAAGCAAACGTGAGCCAGGCATGATGGTGCAAGACTGGATATTGATGATATTAATACTCTATCCAATGTGAATTGTCTTTTTCCCCAACAATCTTTCAATATATCTCAAACGTGATTTCCTTGACTTCTTTGCCAAAGACACACAAAACCAGTGTTTCTTTGCTCCCAATTGTAAAATATACAGCACTTAAACCAGTCTAAAATTAGAAACAATTGTATACTAAAAATAGAAGAATGTGTCTTAAGCTGTGAAATAATTATGCTTTAAGGGCATTTTCATCTTTACCAACATTTCCTTTTATCAAACACCCAATTTTTAACATAATTTTTCATTAGGAAATTAAGTATTCCATCTTATAATATTGTCATTTCTATCAAAATAACTCAGTTTTACACATATAATGTCCTGTGCTTATTAGATATATATAGGGACAGGTTGCTGCCTATGAGTATGGGATTAGAAGAAAAGTCTGGGTTATAAATCTGTGAGTCATGAATTACTACAGGGAACACAGGAAAAAAAGGAAAGGTCAAAGGACTAAGCATTAGGGAATTCCAGCACCAAGATGTTAGGGAGATGAGAAGAACCTGCAACAAAGGAAATACATGACCAGTGAAATAAGAGAAAAACAAAGGATATTCTGGAAATCAAACAAAAGATACTTCAAAAAAGCACACTGATAGATGAAATAAGAACCACTGAATTAAGCAACATGGAAGTCACTTGGGACCATTATGAGCTGTTTTAATACATCACATAAGAAAATACATAATTCAGTACCTGTAAAGTTCTATTCTCCTTCCGAAGATCTTTCATTTTATTTTGTTGCTGGCAAACCCTATTTAGAGATTCATCTTCCAATTCACCAATTTTGCATTTCACACTCTCCATAATTTTTTCCAAGTCATTAGCTCGTTGTTCCTGATGTGCTGCTCGGCTTTGTTCTAGCTGAAGCTCATCTCTATTATTTAATAGACATAATTCCTCCCCTTAGTATTAAAAATAAACCAAATCACCAAACGTACCATTGAACAACTTACTTTCTAAAATTTCTTTGCAACCTTTTTGTTTTTGGTACCTCACGCTTGCCAGGCAGGCGCTATGCCGCTGAGCTAAATCCCCAGGCCACATTCTTAATTCTGTATTTTTGTTTTGGAAGGACTGAGCCCAGGGCCTTGAGCATGATAAGCACATGTTCTACCACTGAGCTAAACTCTCAGCCAACATTTCTAGAACAGAAACCAATAGAAGAAACAGACAATACCATTATATTACCTATGCTAAGATATTACCAAAACATTTATCCATCAAAATTTTACCTATATACCTATAAAAAAAGTTTAAAATTTTAACATTTAATCAAACTGAAAAATTAAACTTTAGTCTTTTTTTTGGTACCGGGGATTGAACTCGGGTCCTTGTGCTTGCACAGCAGGCGACAAAACCACTGAGCTAAATGCCTGGCCCTGAAAAATTAAACTTTAGGATCCTTTCCAAAGCAGTTATTCAATTTCTTACTTAAGCTGCTGATTAGTTTCTATGAGCTCTTGTATCACGTTCTGTTGACGTTCTGTTTCTTCCACCAACATTTTCAAATTCTGCCTCATCCTTTGTGATGACTGTTTATCAAAAATGATAAGATCTACATTTTAAAAATATGATACAGACAGTAAAAATAAAGGTAAAAACAGTCTAAAATAAAAAAATTTATAAAGAAAAAAGAATTTTTTACCTTGAAGAACAATAAGATCTGATTACCTTTAAGATCTGTTCTTTTGACAAGGCACAAAGGTTTTAAGTCATGCCTCATTAACAGCACATTTATGATTTCCCATTCTGCTTCCTCCTGCTATAATTACAAGGAAAGAGATAAGGATGACTTTAAGATATGAAGTGAAGAAAAAAATCTTACACATAATTTCCTATGCTTTCATAATAACAAAACTTTTTCTCCAAAAGGTTTTATTAAATGTGAATTTTATCCGTATCTTATTAAAACACATATATGATTTCTAACAAAATAAGCAACAGACTAGAAGTTTGCAAATAAATTATTGCATTATACAGAATGCACATATGTAGGCATTACTGGACAAATTAGAACAAAAAACAGTAACAAAGACATCTTGTAATTTCCATGAACCAAAAAGACTTAACTGAACCAGATCAGGCCCCATCAGAAGAAACAAATGCAAACTAGATAATATCAATTAAACAGAAAAGCTAAGTCACTCAGAAATAAGTGGCACTTTAATGATTAGTAGGGTGACAAAAAAAAAGATAAAGACATACCTGACTACACAGAGCCAATAATTTACACAGTTATTTGTATAATGGACAAGGTCTAACCATAAAAAGGAGCCTATAAATCTGGATAATAGATTCTAATAGAATCACCCTGAAAGACACTAAGTCTTGTATCTCTAACTCTAAAATTACATGCTAAACAAGGGAACCCTAAATCTCTGAAATGAATAAAAACATTACAATGGGGAAAAAAATAAGAAACAAGAAAAAGTAATAAGGACATAAAGATAATAGATGATTTCTAAAAGAACACTTAGGGGTTGAGGGTATAGCTTAGTGAAATACATGCTTAGCACACATGAATCCCTTGGTTCTATCCCCAATACCACACACTCAGAGATTAAAAATTTGAACAGACAAAATACAAATAAAAGTACTATATTCTTCATATCTAAATGCCTTGAGATGTTAAAGAGCCTATCATCTCAAAAAAGGAAATAACTCTGATAGTTCTTTGAAATAAATTTCTTTTTGACTGCTGACATTTTCCCCCCTTATTTTTAACATATTTCTCTTACACTTTTCACTCTTTTATTAGGTCTTTAGATTGCAGAGCTTAACTATTTGGTGAATTCAGAAATTATCACTGGTACCTAAAAAGGAGCTAAAAGCTCTGTATGACTGTCTCAATGGAGGTCTACTGTAACTCATTAAAAATAAAATGCTCTTACAAAAGAAGGTTATACACTTCAAATAATACTCTTACCTGATACCTCTTCGATCTTAATAAATTCTAAAAACAGCAAGAGATAACAATTTCCATTTCTTGTTACAAACCCCAATCTGATAAAATGTTCACCAAACTAGTATTAAATAAGGAAAATTCTAAATACTGAATCCTTTTGGAGATTTATAAGATTGTGAAGTCTTAGAGTGATAAAGATATTTAATAGTCTTCAACCCAGAAGTTCCCAAAACTATTTGACCAAAGAACCTTTGCATTGTCAGATTTTTCACATTTGTAGACCTAACATTTTTTGGCACATAGAAACAGTGACTTAAAATTTCAAGTTTACCTGTTTTTCAATCATGAGTCTGTTTGACAATTGACTGGATTCCTGGGCTTTAGGGACTTCTGCAGGCACTGTTTCTCTTGCAGAATCAAAAGAGGTAGAGGCTGGCAATAAGATGATTTGAGCTGCCTAAATTTTAAAAAGTACAATAGGAGTTAAAGGAAATTATATTTAAAATAATCTATTATTCTTGCAGAGCAAATTAGGCCATTTCTATAAGATTTATTTGGATAAACCCTATCTTACAATATTTTCCTCTCGGGGTGGGGGGGAACATTTTGGGATTTTACACACACAGAATGATAGAGAAAACTGTTTTAACTAGATAATGTGAAAAAGATGTGACACTAATAAAATATCTTTTGGAAGCTGTTATCCAAACATTTAAAAGGACTGTGTTTATCGCTTCTCAGCCTTTTGGCTAACGTCAAGTGTAAAAGGACTGTGTTTGACCCAAAGTTACAAGCTAGTCTAACAAGTTACTGGACTTGATGTGTGCCAGTTACTTTTCTTGTTGCTGTGACAAAATATTTGACATCCAAAGTTAAAGAAGGAAAGGTTTATTTTGGCTCACAGCTTGTGGAGGTTTCAGTTCATAATCGCCTGGCTCCAAGGCAGGGTGAGATAGCAGAAGAGCATCACAGAGCAGGCAGGAGGCAGTAGCAGATAAGCAGCAAGCAATGGCAGCAGCAGCAAGTGACAAGTGATAAAAACAGCCCTCTTTTTATCCCTTGTATCTATCCAGGCTACACGCCCTTAGGGTGGGTAGCACTCACACCCAGGGTGGACCTTCCCATTATCCATACCCAGATCTGTGCTAAACCAATCAGTGGACTAATTTAGCAATTACACACCCTTGATCCCAGGATCATACACTATAGCTCCAGCTACCTCTGAAAAGTTCCACCTATGACTGCAACAAGGCTTTGCGGGGTACATCTAGACACAAGCAATAACATGATGGAAACAGAAAATAGGGTCTAGTTAAAGGAGTAGATGATGGTGTCCTGACTGTGGAGAATATCTTGGTCCTTGCCTCTATGGCTCTGCTGATCTCTCTCTCTCTCTGCTTCTTGGTGCAATGAGCTGAGCAACTTTGCTCCTTCACACCTTTCGGCCATGATGTTCTATCTCACCTCAGGGCCCAGAAAAAAAGGTGCCAGCTGTCCATGGACCAAAACCCCTGAAACTATGGACCAAAATAAATCTTTAAGGGTTTTTTTCAGGTAATTTGGTCACAGTGATCAAAAGCTAACACACAGAGCTGATAGTTTTAATAGAAAAATGGAGACTGAGCAATGTAGAAAACCAAAGTTGAAGATGAAAGGAGAGGGTTAGACAGACAGTAAGTTTTTTGGTACCTGTTTTCTATCTTCTAAAAATAAGACCTTAAAAAATAAAAATAAAAATAAGACCTACTTTTAGGATTTAAATCACTAGTAAGTATCCTTGCCAAGTGGTCAGGAGTAACATTTTTGTTCTAAGAATTACTTTAGGTCTTTTCACTTCACCTCATACTTATCACCTACATGTGTGTGTACTATAAATATATTAACATATACAAATAGGTTCTTATATACTTAAATTCATTTTACATATTTATAAACATATGTACACATATACAGTATATATAAGCATAATATACATATGTAAATTTATTTAAAACTTATAGAGGCAAATGTTAATAAGCATAATGTTGTAACAAGGTCTATTGAAAAAGTTGAAAACAAAACTATTGCTACCTCTTTGTGATATCCTTAACTTCAAAGTCTTTCATATGAACTTTAGGCCTAACGTCTCTCATGTATTACCTCCAAAACAAGTGATTTTCCCCGCTGTGTTTTGTACTATCATTATCTTTTCTTTAATTACATAAAGTCATATTTATGATTTGTTCTTCCATATGGCACTGAACAAATCTGTTTTAGAATGCCTTCCCGTACTGTGGCTAAGTCACTGCCTTTTTAAAGAGAAAACAGAGAACAGTAGATCTTCAATAACTTCAAAGAAAAAAAAAAAGAACAAAAAAACCAAGGGGCCAAAAACATATACTGGAGGAAAGATATCTTCTTTAACACAGTCTCACTGGCTTGAACTACAGGTGGTATGTGCATGATTGTCCCATCAGGTGGCCTGTATCACTGCAGGTACATGTATGAGGAATAACAGTGATTAGATCTGTGTGTACCATCAGTGGTACAGTCCACTGGATAGAACAGTCATGCATGTACTACCGGTGGTTCAAATCTCAGGAAAGTAACATGTTCAAATCAGAGCCACCTGGCAGCGAGACATATGAATTATGGCCCCAGCATGAATGCATTAATAAATGACGCTAGGAAAACTTGCTATCCACATGCAGAAGATTGAGTCCAGACACGTATCTCTCACCGCATACCAACTAAAATCAAAATGGACCAAAGATCTAAATGTTAAAACAGAAACACTTAATCTGGAGGAAAACAGGTAAAACCCTTGAAGACATAGTGTGAGCAAAGACTTTCTGAACAGAACCCCGATGACACAAAAAATAATATTCAGAATCAACAAGTAGGGTCATATCAAATTAAAAAGCTTCTGTACATCAAAGGAGACAACCAACAGAATAGAGAGCCTATAGAATGGAAAATTTTTTTTCTAGCTATTCCTCAGACAGAAGACTGACATAATAGAATATATACAGAACTAAAAAAATTAGATCCCTCAAAATGAAAGACAAATCAAAAAATGGGTGGGCCACGGATTTAGCCCAGTGGTTCCAGCACCTGCCCCGTAAGCGCAAGGTCCTGAGTTCAATCCCCGGTACAAAAAACAAAACAAAAAAAAGGGCAACTGAAATGAACAGATACTTCTCAAAAGAAGCATAGATGGCCAAGCAATACCTGAAAAACTGCTCAACATCATGAGCCATTAGAGAAATGCAAATTAAAACACTAAGATACTATCTTACTCCAGAAAGAATGGCTATCAAGAAATCAAATAACAAATGCTAAATGGATAAAAAAAAATGTGGTATTTATACACAATGGAGTACTACTCTGACATAAAGAAGGATAAATGTGAGGCATTTATAAATGGATGTACCTTAAGATCATATTACGTGAAAAAAATCAGACACAGAAGTTTAAATACCACATGATTTCTCTTACATGAGAAACCCAAAAATATAAATAAAGAGCAAAATAAAAGATAATATGTAGCAGAGATTTTTTTCAAATGGAAAGGGGAAGAAGAGATGGAGGAAGAAGGGAGGGAAAGAAGGGTAAGGGGATTAGAAAAAGAAAATTGAAGAAGAAAATGAAAAGAGCTTTTGCAAATGGGAGGATGACAAGAATTGGAGGGGCAGGGAAGGATGAAAGGGTTGGAGGCAAAAAAAAAAATTAAGATGTGTTGGCGGACGGACGTAGTGGCACACACCTGTAATCCCAGCACTTGGGAGGCTGAGACAGGATTGCCACAAGTTCAAGGACATCTTTGACTACATCATGAGACCCTATCTCAAAAAACAGAACAAAACAAAAAATAATTAAGATGTGTTACATATATGTACAAACTCCCCACAATAAATGTAATCATTATGTACTGCAAACATGCACTAATAAAAAAATAAAAAGGAAAAAAATGTCCTTTCCTTTTTAATGCCTTAAAGCTAGACAGGCCGGCTTTGTTTCTATACTGCAGGCAAAAATTAATATTTTTTATATTTTGAGACAGGGTCTCATCCAGGCTCGTCTCAAACACAGATGATCTTTCTGTTTCAGCCTCCTGAGTATTGGGATTACAGGCATGTGCCACCACGCAAAAAATTAATGTTTCTTAATTTTAAAATCAGTAAATCATTTATTCTTGCTGAAAACCACACATTACATTTCCAATACACTAAATAGAAGGGGGACAATGATCAAAATTTGTGCATTATATACTACTCAAAGTGAGCTTACTCTTGTGCTCGCTTCGGCAGCACATATACTAAAAAGTGAGCTTACTCTTATTTAGGATCATTTTTTTAAAACCACAGCTTTAACCAGCAATAATTAGAAGGTCTAGATATTGCCTTCTCTTTTATACAGAACAACCTGAAGTAAAGGCTGCATGTAAATAGCAATAACTGAATTGGATGATTATGTACTATTCATGAATTGTCTGTTTTAGGACTTATATACAAATTGTTTTTTCCAAACTCCAGTTTTTAAATGTTTGAAACTACTCTTGTATGGACAAGTCTGTATTTTTGATATGCTTATATTTTTAAAACTTGAAAATATAAAATCTGCCTTACAGCAAACATACACTCACTTGCACACATCTGACCAGACCAGACCAAAAAATACTGTGTGATAGCATTGATGTGAAACTCTAGAAAGTGGTGACAGCAGATCAGTGGTTGTTGGAATAATGAAAGATTGGGAAAAGAAAGACAACTAAGGGAAATGAGGAAATCTAGAGGATGACAGACATATTCACATCCTGATTGTGGTGATGGTTTCACAGGTATACAGGTATACATGTATGTTACATGTATGTTACATGTATGTTAAAACTTCTCAAATTTTATGCTTTAAATATATACAACTATATATCCATATCTAAAGAAAACTCCTTTTTTCACCTAGGGAGGAAAAAAAGAAAAAACAAAAACACCACCATTGACACCACCAACAATCTCAAAAACAGAAAACAAAGCAAAACAAAAAACGAATAACTGATTTTAGCTCTGGCACAGAGACTGATCAGACAAGAATGCCATCAAAAATGACTAGGGTCGTATCTAAAAGGCTTATTGAATAGATTTCCACTAGCGAAAGATGAGGCAATATGAATTTCACCAGTGATAATAACTGCAACAAACTGAAACCCAACATGTAATACTGTATTTATGAGTTTTAAGTGATACTAGATTTTTTTTTAATTGCTCTTTTCCCATTGCTGAGCCAAAATACTCAAAGTTAAAGGAGGAAGGCTTACTTAGCTTACAATTAGTAGAGGTTTCAGTTCATAGTTGGCTGGTTCCAAAGCAGGTTGGCATGGCAGAGGGGTATCACAGAGGATAAAACAGTTCATGATGGGCAGAAGGTAGCAAAGCAAGAAAGTAATTAGATACAAGTAACTAGCAGCAAGCCTCTTTCTGTCCCTTATATTGTATCCAGGCTATCCACCCTTAGGGCAGATAGCACTCACACCCTTAATCCTAGCATTGCACCATGAAACAATCACACCCTCTAGATCCAGCCACTTCTGAAGAAGCCTCACCAATGACTGCATGAGGCTTTGGGGGACATCTAAACACAAGCCATAACAATTGCCTTCAGAAAATAAGGAACTAATGCATTATTAAGAAAATAAGTAAATGCAGGGAATCATTATTCCGCCTTTCCTATATAAATTGCACTTCTGGATAGCCAAATGATAGATGAACGGCCTAGTATTCCAACTAATAAATAAAAAAGATATAAATATCACTATTTTTCAACCCTGAGTAAATGGATATAGTCATCAAGTATCAACAGTTGCTGAGAGCAAAAAGACAAAGACAATAAAGCATTATGTGCCTCTTATAGTCTTGCCAAACACTACTCAAAGAATTACCAAAGGGATTCAGTCTTGGATCCTGCTAACAATGTGCAAGAATTACTGAGGGCAAAGAAACCTACTAAATGGAACACGAGATTGCAATTAGCAGAATTCAGACTATAGGAAATATACAGATCATTCGACCCAGGGATCTAACCAGATAAATTATAAGAAAGGAAAGAAGTGAAGAAAAACCTACAGATTTTTTTCACATTTTCTTAATGGGCAAGATTATAGGCACAAAACTAAACACTTATAAGACAGGGAAGTAAGTACCATAAAAATCAGGTGTTACGGTTTAAGAGTAAAAATGTCCCCCAGGGGCCGGGGATTTAGCTCAGTAGTGTCACCGCCTGCCTCGCAAGTGCAAGGTCCTGGGTTCAATCCCTGGTATCCTCCCCCCCCAAAAAAAGTCCTCTAGAAGCCTCATGAGTTCAGAGGTGGAGCTTATAGAAAGAGACTGCATTATGAGGGTGCTATAGCTGACTTGCTGTTAGAAGTTGGGCTCTGGTCAAAAGAGGCAGGTCACTGGGGGCCTGACCTAGAAGGGTATATTTCTCTCCTCAGCTCCTCCCTATTCTCTGCTTTGTAACCACCATATGAGCTGCTTTTCTCTGGCCAGTCTCTTCCATCTTGCAATTTCTGCCTTCTTGCAGCTGGTGGACCATGGACCAAAACTTTGGAAACTGTGAGCCAAAATAAATCTCTCCTTTAAGTTGCAGGTGTCGAGTATTTCATCCTAGCAATGAGAAAGTGACTAAGACATCAGGAGAATGGCAACTTGAGGGTTTTGTTTTGTTTCATAATAAAAATCATTTTATAATAAAAAGATTTTGCCTTAATGAAGGAAATACATACTAACCAAAAGAAAGCTGGTATATCTCTGTATACATACACAAAGCCAAGAAGGCATTAATCTTCTAATACTTCAATTTCCTCATCAAAAAAAAATGAGGATAATGATAGGTCTCCCACCACCTCAGCAGCTATTATGTATAGTAGCTGCCCTCTTCCTATGGTGCCTTGCCCCTTCCCCTGTGTGATGTCATGCCAAGATGATTGCTCCCACCAAAGAACAAACTCTTCTTCCCAGCAGGCCCGTTCCCACCTAGAGAGTAACCTAATACTCGCTCACCTCCTACCACCTAGTGACATCACCAGCTCCTCCATTCCCTAGTCACTACCTCAGTCAACCCCGCCTCAGCCCCTACAAACCCCACCCCAGTCTCTATAAAAGACTCTCCCTGCCCCAGCCATATTGCTTTTGTCTCTCCTTTGTTCGGAGACAGCCCGGCAGATCTATTCCCCTAATAAAGGCTTGTTGTGGCCTGGTCTGGTCTTGGTCTTCGGCCCTTTTACCTGACAGATAATAAAAGTACTTAGTTCACAGGATTACTTTGAGGATCACAAGAGTTCATATAGAAAGAACACAGAATAGTGCCTGGCATAAAGCATAACAAATGTGGTGGTTAGAGTTGGTAATCAGCTGTGGTGTTAGTTATAATCTGTATTGTCTTAAGCAGTTATTTAATCCCTGTAAATTTCAGTTTCCTTATTGAGTATTAAATACATACTTACCTGACAGGATTATCAGGGGGTCAAAAACATGTACTATATCTAGTACAATATTCAATAAATAATATATTTTTTCCATGACCTTCAAACATCAGAATCATCTGTCCCATGAGACATACCTCAGTCATTGTACATTCCTCTTGCACTTTACACCTGGTTATTCAAGTTATCTCAATGAAATGGATCACCCAATGAGTCTCATGTTCAAAACTGGATCTTCATCTAGGTTTCAAAAAGATACAGACCAAAATTTTGAAAGATTCTACCTGTTAGTAAGAATGGCCTTGCATTATTCCCAGAGCAGGTATTTGTGGTTCTAGTATCCATTAAACCAAAACCCAAATAACTGCAGTGACTGCTAATGGCCTCCACAGCTCCCTACTGTATCATATGCCTCCTATCTTCTCTTCTTTACCCTTCTTAGCTTTCCTCTGTTTTGCTGAAACATTTTTTAGGTATCCAAGTCTATCATCATTTCGGATTTCTGGCTTCAAAGGTAGGACATCCTTACAAGAGCACCAAAATGAAGCACTTTCACAGAGACAAAATACGACTGATCACAAAGCAAAGGCAGGAAGAAAACCACTAACTTAGACCTGTGATCGAGCCCTCCCCCTACTTGAGAGATCTACTCTAAAATAAGTGTGTACTTTGCAGCAGCTTTTTCCTTACTTCAGACTGTTATAGGACATGGGTTTACAATTTTAATAATCACAGGAAATGACCAAATGCTTCCCAGAGCCAAGGCAGAGCTGTAACTCTAATAAGTGTCATTAACAGACACAAAGACTACAGGATGCCAGGAGTGGTGGCACACACCTATAATCCCAGCACTCAGCAGGCTGAGGCAAGAGGACTGCCGTGAGTTCAAGGCCAGCCTGGACTATATAGTAAATTCAAGGTCAGCCTAGACTACATAGTGAGATACTGTCTCAAAAAACAAAACAAAAGGGCCAGGGATTTAGCTCAGTGGTTTTGCTGCCTCCTATGCAAGCACAAGGACCCGAGTTTGATCCCCGGAACCAAAAAAAAACAAAAAACAAAAAACAAAAACAAAGACTATAGGAGTAGGAGATGGACAGTGGGTTTGTATATGACAGTGATGGCAAACCTTTTAGAGCTTTCAATGACACAAATGGCCTGCTCCATAGGCTTGCCACCACTGGTATATGGCATATAAAGCCAAGCGAGAGAGAGAAAAAAAGGCATATATTCTAGCACTGTTTCCCAAGAGTCTTTCTTTAAATTGTTCTTTAAAGGTTGAAAGCCAATGTAACATGCACATACATTATTTTTCACCATTTTTGCAGAAGAAACCTGGAAATAAATTATGAGCAGCATCTGTTCTATTTCAAATGAGTCACACCAAAATCAGCAAGGATCTCAAAGCATATCTTTCAAATTACTGCAATAAATGAACATAATTAATGCTTTTCATCTTTCTGTTCTCTATTCACACAAAAACTGCTCCAAAATATTGAAATTTTCTTTTTAAGGTTCTGGAGAAAAAGATACATCTACACTAAGAAGAGGAAGTTAGGATTGGCTACCATCTCAACCTTCATTCTCTCCCTGGAGAAGTTACGTAAGGGGCCAGAACAGACCTCTGCTGCTTTGAAGCAAAAACTGCCAGTGAAACTCCTAAGCCAGCCAGCAGCCAGCTACCTCTTGCCCATTTGGGCGGTCTATTCGGCAACATTAAAAGAGGAAAAATAAAAAAAAGAACCTCATGCAAAGGATTATAACTAATGAGTAATGCCTGAGTGTTAAAAATTATCATGATTAAAAATATGATGGCCACATACCCCCTAGTCACAGAATTCTGGCAGGCCAAGCCAGATGGATCACCAAGTTCCAGCCCAGCCTGGGCAACTTAGCAACTTTGAGAACCTGTTTCTCCAAGAAAAGGAGGTAAGCAGGAGACCTTGGGAAATGCAGCTCAGGGCAAAGGCCCTAAATTCAATCTCCAGTACCGATATAAATCAAATAAATAGGCAATCAAGATTATTCTGCTTGGTTTCCATTAATTGTCTCAGCCCTCTGACCTTTCTCACATTAAAAGAATCAAAGTAAAGCCAGGCGTGGTGGTGCACGCCTGTAATCCCAGCACTCGGGAGGCTGAGGCAAGAGGATCGTCTTAAATTGGAGGACAGCCTGGACTACAGAGTTCGCGGCCAGCCTGAACTGCATAGCAGAACCTTGTCTCCAAAAAACAACAACAACAACAAAAAAAATCAAAGTGGACACCACATAGAGTCAGAATGCCCCCGGAATGAGCCTAACTGGGCAGAGTAAGGGACACCCAGCCACCTGCACCAGTGATCTCCCCGCTCTGGAACCTTGTCTCCAAAAAACAACAACAACAACAAAAAAATCAAAGTGGACACCACATAGAGTCAGAATGCCCCCGGAATGAGCCTAACTGGGGAGAGTAAGGGACACCCAGCCACCTGCACCAGTGATCTCCCCGCTCTGGTTCCAGCATTCGCAGCCTCGGACGCCCGATCCCGGGGCGAGCGGAGCAGCCGCAGTTGACTCTCTCGGAGGGAGTAATTACTGTTCCCAGAAATTACCTACAGTCTGTGCCAGATGATTCTCAGTTTTATCATCATTGCACGATTTAGCCTTCACAATCACGTCAGGGACATACTGTATTTATTATCCAGATATAGAAACAGGCGCCGAAGCTTTACGAAGGGCACAAAGGTTGACAAGCCCGGCGGCAAACCAGATTTGTCCAAGCTCCAAACCTTTACACAAGTATTTTTAATTAGAGTGGACCTGTCCCAAGGGCTCCTCCCCGTGGTCCCGAATCTAGGGGTCTTCCAGGAAAGGGTTTCTGATGACAACTTCAGTGACCCCACGCACCACTCACCTTCCTCAGCCTCCGTCTCCCATCGGCAGCCAGCCCAGCCCCGCACTGCTCAGCGGTTGGATCCCCGCCTCCGCGACCGTTACAGCCGCCGAGGCGGGGGAGGCCAGCCAATCGAGCCCTAGCGCGCCGAGAGCGCGACTCTCTCGGGCAACCTGGGAAGACTGGGTCCGCCGCGTACTTCGGTTGGCTCTGCTGCTGGGGGCGGGGCTTACCACTGGTGTAGCCTTGGTTCGCCTCGCTGTCGTAGACACCCTGGCACGCCCATCGCCCGCCCAACGTGCTCCAGCCAGGTAGATCCTTGGGAGCGTACTTGGAACCTTGATTATCCGGAAGTTGTCAGAAATACGTATTTGTCAAAATAAGAACCAAGATATATTATGTGAAGGTACAAATTCCCAATAATGAATGCCAATATATTGTATACTTAAAATGTACCAATAAAATTAATGAAAAAAAATACGTATTTGTGACTGCAGGTGAAAGTGAAGCCTGGACTCCCTGGTCACCCCAAACTGCCCTTTAGATACCCAACCCCGGCGTTTTCTCTCCTTACCATAACTGTGAGCTCTTTCAAGGGACCGATCAGCATGTTCTCCTTGTTGCAGCCAAGGCTGAGCACTGTAGCGGCTGGCACTGGACGACCCCAATAATTGTTTATTGATAATGTTTCACTCTCATTCAGCATTTCTCAAATGTTTATGAAGTGCAAGGTGCTACATTAGCCTGCACCAATGCAGAATGCCTGACTGATCATGTGATAAGCCTGATCAGAGAAGGGTGCGTGCAGGCCGCAGGAGGGAAAGGATTACTGCACATAAGGTTGTCGCTGAAGTCTCCTAAGCCACCATGGCTCAATCCAGGTTGCACATTTGAATCACCTGGGAAGCTCTGAAAACTCAGTGCTTAGGCCCAGGACCCATTAAGTCAAAATCCCTGAGATAGGATCCAGGTGTCCAGAATGTCTAAGCCTCCTTGGATGACTCCAGTATGCTGCCAAGAGGGAGAAAGGCAAACGTAGAGGGCTTCTTAAGAATTTCTGAAAAGTGAATGAGTTCTCCAGCAAAACAATGAGGCAAGGTAGAGAACACTGTTGGGGTCCTTTGGTACAGAGCATATCTAACCTTACAAAAACTACAAACCTAACTCCCAAAGCATTTACAAATATAATAGAACTTACTACTGAAGGCTTCCTGAGGAATCTGTGTGTTGCATCATTAGAGAAGCAAAGAAAGGACTTTATCAAGGAGGTGACAGAAAACCACTGACAGATTTTCCAGGGTGTATACAATGGAAATAAGTTTTCCTTTGATGTCTTCAAGCTTCCTTTTCTTTCACCATGATATATATGTTTTAAAAAAAATCAGTGTATAAGTATGTTCCACAGTGTTCAAATATCACTTTATTTACACAAAAATTGATACAAGAAAAATATAACTCCCAACCTCTTAGATGTCAAATGTACTAAGTTTATGGTTTCACAACATAGAGAGATGAAATCGAGAACCACAGGAAAGAGAGTTTTATTGGAAATGAGGGGGAAAAGAATAGTTCTTGGATTTCCAGGAGGTAATCTCAAATAGGGTGGCCACCAAGGTCCTTTGTCAGGGGTAATTTATACAGCAAAGTCATAATACAGGATTAAGAGTACTGTATAGCCACTTAGCTAATACTGATCCAGCAGGGAAATGAGACATATAGCAAGGGTACTTGGAAAAAACAAATGTTCTTTTGGGAAGGGGAATATGGGTCTGGATGACTTGGTCACCCACCTATGCACCTGATGCTTATCAGGGCCCGCTAGACCAGGTGGAGCTAATTACAGTTTAATCTCAAATTGCTGTTTATCTTGCAGGCCTAGCTATTGCTTAGCCATCCTGGGGCTTGACTCTTTTCAGATTTGCCTCCAGCCACCATTCTGATGTCTTTATGTTTTGGGCTAACTTCCTTGAGGGCACAAACCAACTCTGACTTCATATTAGTATCTATCTATCTATCTATCTATCTATCTATCTATCTATCTATCTATCTATCTTAACTTTCTATCTGCCTGTAATAAAATGAGTTCAACCTTTTTATTTCTGTTTAGTAAATTCACAATCTAAAACTAGACTCCTGTCCACCATTTCCAAAAATTTATAAGGAGTTAGTTGGTCAAAAATATTTAAAGGGAAAAATCCACTGTCCACACTTGGGAGAGAAGGCCTCAGGAATCCACCATTGTCATTGCATCTTATAGCCACATAGTGTCGCTATTGACAATGCGTCTTTTCCAGTTGGTCAAATGATGCAGGTCTGTAGAAAATACAGGTTCTATGCTGACCAACAGGGATCTACCACGGAAAGAATGGGTCAAGGTGGCTCTCACTAGGAGACAATTCTGAGGCCTTTGTACTTCAAGCCCATACTCAGCCTCCTTCCAAAGCAGATGAGGCCACTGTAAGTTTGATCTCAGTGTCTGCCCCAGCCCACTCTCATCTCTTTCCTTTTCCATAGCTGAGTATTCACATTAACAAAGGCTGGCAAACGTTTTTATTTTTGAGGTAGGGTCTTGCTTTGTAGTGCAGGCTGGCCTCAAACTCAGGGCAGTCCTCCTGCCTCAGCTTCCTCAGAGCTGGGATTACAGGGATGTGCCACCATGCCAGGCCTAATAACTGACTGTCTTAGTTACTTTTCTCACTTGTTGCTGAGACAAAATACCCAAAACCCAAAGTTAAAGGAGGAAATGTTCATTGTAGCTCAGTTTGTAGAGGTTTCACTTCACAGTTGGCTGGCTCCAAGGCAGGGTAGCATGGTAAAGGGCCATCACAGAGGAGAAACTGTTTATGGTGAGCAGAAGGCAGCAAAGCAGCAAAGTAGCAAAGAACCAGCAGCCATTCTGCCTTCTTTCTGTCCCTTTATATTCATCCAGGCTACCCGCCATTTGGGTGGTTCCACCCACACTCAGTGTGGACCTTCCCATTATCCACACCCAGAACTATGTCAGACCAATCAGTGGACTAATTTAGTAATCACACAGCTTAATCCCAGCATCATATACCCTAGATCCAGCCAACTCTGAAAAGCTCCACCTATGACCACATGAGGCTTTTGGGGGGACATCTGGACACAAGCCATAACACTGGCAAACTATTATTTTTGACTCTCAAAATACAATCTCTGCTTGCCTTTTCCAGGACAATAGGGTGACTTGCCCACTCTTCTGAGTGTGGCTACCATCATTGTGGCCACGAGGCCAAACATCTTTGGGTGAGTTAGGATTATGTCAGAATCAAGTAAAAGAAAACCTAATTCAAACTGTCTTCTTAAACAATAAAGAAATTGATGATCTCATAATAAGAGAAAGCCCAGAGACAGGTAAACTTTGGTATTGCTTTATTTGGTGGTTCAACAAGTTACCAAGGACCCAGTTGCTATTAGTCTCTCTGCTCTACTTTAAACATGATAAGCTTCAAATTCATGCTAGAGTGACTTTTCAGCTTTAGACAAAGAACAACCAGGATAACAACTTTTTTTTTCATGAACACTTTTTCCTTCCGATTTTTTTGAGCTAGTTAGGTCAACCACATAGGCACACTGCTCTTTGGTCAGTAACTGCCTGGGAAATCACAGATGGCTTAAGGCTGAGTTCCATAAAGGATGGGGTGGATAACTGGAACTGGCTTCTAAAGGACCACATAGCCAATCGTCCAATAGTTATTCTAGACCAATACTGGCAATTTTAAAGCTCTAGCCAATATCTGTAATTCATTTTATTTTTGTCTCCATTCTTGCTATTCAAAAAATAAGTTAAAAAAAATCGGTCAACCTCCTTTTCTAACAGAGGTCCAGTGAAAACACAGACTATTATGATGCAGGTGTGTTTAGCTGCTCTCTTAAATCAATGGTGTCTATGGACAAATTTGTGAGAGGCAGTTTATGAAGTTGAACAACATCTAAGTATTTCCTGGGGAAAAATGGAAACAAGTCAAGAGTAAAAAAGTCAAAAGTTTGCTGGACCTGCAGGAGCATGTTTCATACTTAAGTTCAATACTTTTCACAGTGTTTTGATCAGATGTGATTTCTTTCCACACGGTTTTTCCGGGTAACATGTGACTATTGCTACCTCAGATGTCCTGGGCCTGTAGAACAGATAGGTAGAAAATTCAGCTGAAACTAGTATGTTCCTCAATTCCAGTTATCCCAGAAACTATCCCCAGAGGAGAAATAGCAGCATAGAACTAGGCAGCTGAGGACTCATGGGCCACCTTCCCTAATCTGGGTACAGACATGAGTGTACCACAGAAGTGGGCCAAACTCTGTACTATGGGACCCCTGGAAAGAGGGCACCCCAAGGCTCTTAGGTGCTTTCTTATCACTGGGACATAATACCTGCCACCTACAACTTAGAGGTTTATATGTTCTTAGTCAATAGTTGGCTGGCTCCAAGGCAGGAGGACATCATGGCAAAAGGGCATAGCAGAAGAAAAGATGCTTATGTCATGGCAGCCAGGAAGTAGAGTGGCAGGAAGTCAGGGAGGGAGATACACTTTTTCAGATCACACTGTAGTGATCCACCTTCCTGGGCCGACTTCCTAACATTACATTTAGCTATAGCACCCCCTTGATTCAATCACCTTTCAACTGTTCCACTTATGAGTCCAAGAGGCTTGAGAGGGGCAGCCAGATATAAACCATAACAGCCTCTGACAGTATTCCATATTTTTTCTTCAGCACAATACTTTACTAATAACAGACCTTGTTAATATAAACTTTTCTTATCCCATAGGCCTAACTCCAAATCTTGACCTTTTTAAACACCTCCTCCCCACCTTAATTCATTCAATAATAATTTACTGCAAGTTTTCTGTTCTACAAAAAAAGCAAATAACTAAGAAAATACAAATATTAAGTCTTTTGTCTTCAGGGAGATTTCAGTGCAAGGTAGCAAACAAATCAGTGCTCTCTAAGCAGAATCCCTGTTACATAAGAATCTGGTCATACAACTTTGAAGATCAGTTAGCATAATCAGTAGGTTGTTCCCTGTTGTCTTTCAACTCTGCCTTCTTTCATAGACTATACTTGCTTAGCACCTAGAAAACTGCCTCCACTCTCCCAACCTCAAAGATGGAACAATCCTTTCCATTAACAGCAAGCTGCAGAAAGAAATGATGCAATAAGGTCTGGATGTCCCTGCACCCCTATTTCAGTCTGTTCAGGCTGCTAACAAATACCTTAGACTCAGGTATTTCTAAACAACAGAAGTTTATTGCTTACATTTCTGTCAGGGAAGGCCAAGGCCAAGGTACTAGCAGATTCAGAGTCCAGGGAGGGCTTGTTTTTCTGTTTCAAAGATAGTGCCTTACTGCTGCATCCTTATGAAACCAAGGTACAACCTTAATAAATTCTCTAGACTTAACCTGCTTTACCTGTTGTTAGTTATTTGCTTTTCTAGATCTAACCCCCTTCACTTGCTCCTAGTCACTTGCTTTAAAAATTACCTCTTTTGAGGCTATAACATCTCTGACACATGGGTCATGATGATAATTGTTGAAGTTTGATCACACATGTACAAGCCACCAATTACATCCTAACATCCAGTCACCTTTCCACATGCCTCAACCCATAAATATCCCCAACCTTTCCTCTAGGAGACAAACTTGAAACTTGATCTCCAGTATTCACAAATAGTGGCCTTGTAGATAAACTCTCTCTTTTGCAAAACTTCTTGTCTTAGTGATTGGCATATTACCGCAGGTAAAATGGGCCTGGCCATATCACACTCACATGGTGGAAAGGGCAAATAGGCTCTCTCAAACCTTATTTAATAAAGGCACTGTTCCCACCCACTTATGTCTTAATCACATCCAAAAGGCCCCACCTCTTATATTTGTGTTAGAGGTTGGGCTTCAGTATGAATTTTTGGAGGAAAGATAACAGTCTCCAGACCACAGCAGCCCAGAAATTTACTAGGCCTCCAGAAGCCCTCCAGAATCCCTCCAGAATCTTCAGCTATCCCTATTTTGTTGCTGATCCTATTCTCCAGGGACCACACAATGATTTCCTCAGATGGACATTGAAGAAATGAAGACATTAGAGGATGGAAAGACCTCCCGTGTTCATGGATTGGCAGAAATAATACTGCTAAAATGGCCATATTACCAAAAATTATCTACAAATTCAATGCAATCCTCATCAAAATACCAGTACCATTTTTCACAGAACTAGAAAAAGCAATCCTAAAATTTATACAGAAACACAAAAGACCCAGAATAGCTAAAGCAATCCTATGTTTAAAAAAAGCAATCCTGGAGGCATCACAATACCCAATTTCAAATTAAACTACAAAGCTATAGTAACAAAATCAGTGTGGTGCTGGCACAAAAACAATAGACATAGAGACCAATGAACAGAATAGAGGACACAGGAATAAACTCACACAGCTACAGTCATCTGAATCTTTTTTTTTTTGTACTGGGGCTTGAACTTGGGACCTTGTGCTTGCAAAGCAGGCGGCGGAACCACTGAGCTAAATCCCCAGCCCAGTCATCTGAATCTTAAGCCAAAAATATATACTGTATTGGAGAAAGAACGACCTCTTTAAAAAATGGTGCTGTGGAAACTGGGTATCTACTTACAGAAGATTGAAACTAGATCCCTCTCATGTTGTACAAAAGTCAATTCAAAATGGATCAAAGACCTAACACCTGAAGCTTTGAAATTTCTAAAAGAAAACATAGGTAAAACACTTGAAACCACAGGCACAGGCAAAGACTTCCTGAGTAGGACCTTAATAGCACTGGAAATAATAACAAGAACCTACAAATGGCACTACAAATTTTTAAAATTCTGTAAAGCAAGAGAAAAAATAACAATGAAGAGACATCCTATAAAATAGGAGACTATTTTTGCCAGCCACTCTTCACACAGAGGATTAAAACTGAGAATATATAAAGAACTAAAAAACTTAACAGTAAAAAAAAATCAATGGCCCAATCAACAAATGGGCAAATGAACTGAAGAAATACTTTTATCCCATCAACAGTGGGGATTGAACCCAGGGCCTTCACAATATTCAACATCTTTAGCCATTAGGGAAATGCAAATCAAAACTATGTTGAGATTCCATCTCTAGTCAGAACAGCTATCATAAAGAATACAAAAAACAACAAATAGTGGCAAAGATGTAAAGGGAAAAGAACCCCTTCTACACTGCTGGTACGGAAGTTTCTCAAAAAACTAAAAATAGGGGCACTATTTGATCCAACTATACCATTTCTTGGTACATATCTGAAGGAATTAGCATTCTATAGGGATACCTGCCTACCCATGTTTATTGTGCCACAATTCACAATAGCCAACATATACAACCAGCGTAGGTGCCCACTGACAAAAGAATGGACAAAGAAAATGTAATATATATACACAATGGAGTATTATTCAGCCATAAAGAATGAAACTTTGTCATTAGCAGGAAAATGGATGGATCTGGAGATCACGTGAAGCGAAATAACCCTGACTCAGACAGACAAACATCACATGGTCTCACTAGTATGTGGCATCTAAAACAGATGACAAGAACGTAGATGAGAGATTATTATTAGACAAAAAAGAAGGGAATAGGGCGTAAGGGCCGATAATAGGGAGAATAGGTGTGATCAATATGTATCATAAGCATTAAAACACCCCCCACGCCCCACCTCGGGAAACTCCAGAGAGGACAGAGCAATGGGGATGACAGGGAGAGCGATCCTTATAAAAATTAAAAGGGCTCCCTAAAGCGGATTTAGGAAGAGCGAAGCTCCCTGTGGCTTCAGAGCAGCACAGGGGCTGCCTCTGCCCAACAGGTTGATTCCAGCGTCCAGCCTGGCGGCGAAATAGGACCGGCTCTTAGCACTTGCTGGTTTAGTGACTGCACTCGGTGCGTTAGGGGCTCACATTTCGACGGCGGCTGAAGGCCAGTGAGGAGAGCGCGAGGCCGCCACAGCAGCGGCCGCGGCGGGGGTTGGGTCTCTGGAGGGGAGGAGGCCGGCGCTCAGCGCCCCAGGGGACCCGAGGCGCCACACAGTCAGAGCGTTCGGTACTCGCGCCTGCAGATCGTCCAACCACCAAGCCGACAGTGCCGTTCTAGGCGAAGCGACCCAGGCTGCGGTCAGTAGGTCCAGTCGGGCCCCACTGGTGCTTGACGCGGCCGTTCCGCGGCCCCCAGCGCGCAGGTGAGTCCGCGGCCCAGGTGGGGGCGGGCCCCGGGCTCCGGGCTCCCCTCCGCCGCGCTCGGCCTCCCCGCCCCCACCCTAAGCCCCTGCGCGCAGTTTTAGGCGCCCCCGCGCCTGGTCGCTGAGGTTCCGGGTGCAGGGCGACGGCGAGCGGCGTCTACTCGGGCGGGGAGGCCCGGCGGTGAGAGGCGAGGGCCAGCGCGGGTGAGTTCGGGCCCTAGAGCCTCAGGGAGGGCGGAGGGGGAGGCGGTGGCGGAGGAGGGAGGGGGAGGCGGCCACTGCGGGGTGGGGGCGGTCCTGCTGCGTCTCCTGAGGCCAGCGCGCGCCGTAAACAGAGTCCCTGTCGCTGAGGAAAACGTGGGACGGCACGGCCCGGAAACCGGCCCAGTTAACGCTCCGCTGAATTTCCTTCCAGTCTGCTTTTCCCTGTAAGCGCGAGTTGGGTTTATTTGTGCAGAACCTGGTTCATAAAGCCTTATGACCTTGGCTCTTTCTTCACTTGTGCATCGCGCGCCTGTCCCCGTGGGTCTCCTCGTCCTTTATTGGCTGCACCGCGCTGCCTCCCCAGGGGCTGTCTCGGGACCAGTCTCTGGGAGGAACAGTTCTTGCACACCTCTCTGATCCTTTTGTGCGCTTGGTGGAAGAATTCAGTCAAGACACTTAGGCAGCTATGCCGAAGTATAGATAGAATTTATTGTAAAGTAGATATTGAGAGCATGACACTTGCAAGTGAGTGAGAAGGCAGGCAGCACTATAAAGGGCATCGAGTTTGGGTGTCTTTTTATGCACACAGACTTACTCCTGGGGTTAGAGGAACCAGGGTAATTAGGATGCTTATCAACGTTTTTTTAGACGTTACTTTGGAATTGTAAAATGTCTTCATGTGCTTTTCAGATTGTCGATGTTCTCTTAGGGGCCTTATTCATGTAAGAAACTTATGAAAGAAATTTACAAAAGAAAAAAAAAAAGAAATTTACGAAAGAAAGTTCTTTATTTAAGCCAGGTCCTAGCCTAAGGTGGAGGGTCTTTAAAGAAAGTATCCTTTCCTGATATCATTGGCCCACAATCTGTGGCAACCAGGAGTACTGTATGCCTTGTTCTAGAAATAGAGACCCTGTGTCTTTGACACTGAGGTCAAATAAATAATTATAAATATATTATACACTGAAGTCTTTGTTTCTTTACCTAACTATAGTTGGCAACACATGATATTTTGGACTCCCCCGTTGCCCCTCTGGCCGTTAATATCTAATAAATTGCCCAACACTGACCACCACATCCACCCCAGTACTGTGATTTGCTTAATGGAGTCCCTCCCTGATGGCAAACATGCCGGTGGTTTTCAGTTTTTAGCTGTTACAAAAGGCAGTTAATTGAGCCCTATTAGTGTTTTGTTTTGTTTTGTTTTAAGAGTAGGAAAAATTTATTGGGAGAAAGAAAGCTTCTGCCTAAGAGGGACAGAAGGGGGACCGGAAGGTGGGTTGCCTGCTCACCCCACTTTTCAAAGATGTTTTATACAGCAAAGCCATGTGGTGAGGCAGGTACAAAGTGGGACAAAACTATAAGACCCAATGGAAATTTACAAGGTGGGCATGAGTTGGGACAAAACCATGACCAATCTATAAGATTAAAAGTACAGTCATATTGATTAAATGGTAATATTGATTAAATGGGGGTCAAATGAGGGAGCAAGTCACATAGCAAGCATACAAGGACTTTCAGAGAAGACTATGTAGAGCAACTAACTACTGACCACAACTATGACCCTCTTCAACTGGAAGTAGCCAGAACGGTCTTCGCCCCTTGCCCCCTCCCTGCAGTTAGAGGTACTTCTTCAGAGGGGGGAATATTGTAGATAGATGCCTTAGATATCTTGTGTGCAGTTAGACAGGACCAGCCCTCCAGGAGCCAACACAGCAAGGAGCCAACAAGGAGGACAATCAAGACACACTCACTGAAGGGCAGCATTGTAAAAGGAGAAACTACACACCCTTGTGCTTCCCCTGGGGATAAATGGCAGTGATTGATATTCTAAATAAGTATCAATCACCTGGGTCAAGGTCTTAACCCAGCCTCTCCAGGAAATATCCCTGACCCCCATTCTTACTTGAGAATAACATGGACAAGAAAAAATTGAAATACTACTAACTTTGTATTAAAGCCTTTTTCTTATTCAGTTATGTCTTAGAAAAACCAATAAAGAAACATAATTTTATATTGATCTATGAACTTGTGCTTAAGAAGAAATATCAATTTTGATAAACAGTTGTAAGTAGAATCAGAGTGCTTCAGATTTCCCAGATAGTTGCTTTGGTGCTTATTCTAAGCATTGTATGTAATTATCTCCTAACTACAATGTATACTATCAATTATTGAAAAATGAAAAATTGCTAATTTTAGGTACTCAATAAACAATTGTTGAATGCATGAGTGAATGTTGGTAGTTTAATTTAAAAAAAAATAAAACAAACCCTGGTTTCTAACTTTCCTTACAACTCATTATGTTGTCTTTTATACTCATTATGAAAGGGTATTATAATTAAGAAAGTTCAATGCTTTATCTTAGTGTTACTAAGAATTGAAGTTTTTTATAATAAAAAAGGGCAATTCAGGTTTCAATGCTTGTATTACTGAACTTTCTAGAATCTCTAAACTTTGTAGAGCAAAATCTGACATCCTTAAATCCTCTCAGATTACAAAGGATGCTTATTAAGTTTTTAAATTACATTATTTGGCTTATTCTGTTGCTACATATATATGTTTTTGTTTTCAGAGTAACAAGATACCCTCCAGTTTTGAAGGAAATATCCTAGGGCTTCTTAAGACTAGAAAATTTCCCAAATTTGTATGGTGCTAATTTTTTTTAGAGAAGGATTTATTAGGTACAGATCTTTACCTAGTTTTCATTCTAAAATTCTTAGCATTTCTTTGCCTGTTTCCCACTGGATTGTTTCTATGGGTAGCTAATATCTTCTAATTTAACATTATTTTAACAAATTTGTGACATTTGGCTTTTTCCAACCAGAGAGGTTTGGCAATCTCTCATTTTTAGCAAGGAGATAGTACACTTAAGGCATTGATAGGGAAAAGGCATTTATTAAGGAGAGGGCTGAAGCTACAGTAGATCTTGGGAATAAAAATAATGAAATTTATGATAGTTTGGCAGGGGTCTGTTAACCCCAAATCTTCTAACGTGGAGGGTTTCCTATTCATGTGAGTTTATGTGTGTATCAGATTTTAGTAAAAATTAGTGCTGCTTCCCAGTTATTTACTTTATTTGGGTTCTAGTTCTAGCATAGACCCCGCTAGTTACCAGGTGAGTCCCATAACTTTTGTGGATGTATTATTGGCACTAATAAATTAAATGGGCTTAAGTGGGTAACTGTTTGCTTTTAGAAAGTGAATCAGTATATCCATGGTTACTTCCTGTAAGTTCACCATTTATTTCAGGAAATTTTTAAAAGTGTAAAATGCCCTGTGAAGATTGCATTATGAATTAGTTACTACCCTGTAGCCTTACCACTTCTAGTAAAAGGATCATATTTATCAAAATTTTATGTATTCTCTCATCTACTCCCTAAAACCCTTGGAGCCTCTAGAGCTTCAATTTAAGAAGAATGGGACCCAAAGGATCTTACAGGGCTCTTGCAGTTCTGATATCCTGTTAATACTTGAAATAAACTAGAGTTTATTCTCTACTTTTTAAAAATTATACTTTTAAGAAATTGTAAATCCATAATAGGAAAAAATATCATTTATCTTCTTTCTCTGAAAATTAAAGTTGTTTCATCAGAAACTGCTTGCAATTTAAAAAATGCATTGCAGAGTTAGAAAAACGCTTTGTAGATGTCGTCTTTGTTGCTGTCAATCTTGCTTTGCTGCAATTCTGCTTTTTCTTTCCTGGCTGCTAATTGGATTAAAGACTGTTTAGCCAACCATGGCATCTGGAGATGACAGTCCTATCTTTGAAGATGATGAAAGGTAAATGTCTTGCATTGCAATAAAACTAGGCTTTGAAACCGTCGATTGTTATGATCGTTCAGAACAGTTATTTATCCAAGCTATTCTGTTAAGGAAATATTTGTAACATTTAAGAATGCATGGTTTTGCTTTAGGATGTAGAGCAAGAGTAGCAAATACCTGCATGGACATGGTCACCATGACCATGCCATCCTCTCCACAGATCCAGGATGTGAAGTTCTCAGCAAAAAATTTTGGCAAACACTTCAAAATGAAATTACTATCTCTGGGCCAGGGATGTAGTTCAGTGGTGCCACTGCCTGCCTCGCAAGCGCAAGGTCCTGAGTTTGATCCCTGGTACCAAAACAAACAAACAAAAAATAAAATAACTGTTTAAAAAATAAATTACTATCTCTGATTCAAAGCATGCAAAGGAGAAAATAAGAACGAACAGCCACATGTGGTGCTGCTTGTCTGTAATCACAGCACTCTAGAGGCAGAGGTAGGAAGATCACTGCAAGTTCGAGGCCAGCCTGAGTGACACAGTGAGTTTAAGGCCAGCCTGAACTACACAGTGGGGCCCTGTCTCAAAAAAAGAAAACAAAGAAAAAATGAACAAAGAGGAAAATATCAAGAGAACGGACTCTGGAGCCAGAGTCGTAGGTTTAAATCCTATCTCTGCCATTTAATGTCATTGTGACTTTAGACCAACTCTTAGCCTCTCTGAACCTTATCTGTAAAGTAAGTGCACTAATAGCACCTGGCAGCTTCTATGAGTTAATACATATAAAGCTCAGACTAGGCCTGGCATACAAAAAGCACATTAACAGCTGTTGTTAGCTACCATCATTATTACTGCTTATTTCCCTTAATAATAATCTACATAATTATATCAATATCAAAATATTAATTATATATTATGTAGAATATCACTTACATTGACACATGTATTTTATATTAAAATATTAATATAAAATATGTTTAATTTGTGCCACAAGTTTTTGAAAAGCCTTTTTTTAATTAGCTTTCCCATAATAATTCAAGAATAACTTTTCAAAATATTTTGTATTATTTTAATCTTTATTACAGGATTTTTATTCCATAGCTGATTTCTTTCTGTTTCAGTATAATAAATTAGTACCCTTTTTGTTAAAAACAAATTCCTAGTCATTATGTGAAAAGTTTGGAGAGTTCTTGCTTTAGAGTATTCAGATCTGGAAAAGAAAAAACATTTAATATTATGCTTTTAAAATGCAGATTGGGTAAGGGAAGGAACTTTTACTAACCTTTTCATGTAAGAAACTGTAGCCTAGTCTAGAATACTATCCAGGATAAACTGATAGATTCTTAATCCTATTAGTATTAAGGTGACTTTGTTTGGAATTATCAGACTGTATGCCCATACATAGCAGTTTTGTCTTAAAGGAAGAGCGAATAAGAGGAAGAAAATAGTTGTATGTTCTGTGAGTAGAATTTCTTAGGAAATGTCACTTTCATACTTTGTAATTTTAGAGCTTTTAAAAATCTGATATTTTCATCTTAAGAAGATTACTGTATTATTGCTTGGGGTCCATTATAATGGCTTTATTTTATTCCTTTAGTCCTCCTTATAGCCTGGAAAAAATGACAGATTTTGTAGCTGTATGGGATGTTGCTTTGAGTGATGGAGTCCACAAGATTGAATTTGAACATGGGACCACATCAGGCAAACGAGTAGTATATGTAGATGGAAAGGTAAGAGAACACGTCACTTTGTAAAATATGGTTACAGAGAAGCTTGATTTTGTGCCTTCATATGTGAAGTTAGGGCTTTTTTCCAACATTGGTTATCTTTATGTTTTTGTCTTGTATCAACTTCACTGTATAAAGCAAACTAAAAATAGTTATAGAATTCATAAATATAAACTTAAAATGGCCTTATTTTCTAAAATCTCAGCATTATGAATTAGTAAAAGTATATTTTCAAAACCTTGTTACTTGGACATTTTATATCATTACTAATATTAAATATTAATATTTCTTCCATTTGCATGTTTTAAACTTTTGTGTTTTACTACCTAGGAAGAGATAAGAAAAGAATGGATGTTCAAATTAGTGGGCAAAGAAACCTTCTGTGTTGGAGCTGCAAAGACAAAAGCAACCATAAATATAGATGCTGTCAGTGGTTTTGCTTATGAATATACTCTGGAAATTAATGGGAAAAGCCTCAAGAAGTATATGGAGAATAGATCAAAAACTACCAATACATGGGTAATGAACTTGGATGGCGAGGACTTTAGAGTTGTTTTGGGTAAGTTAGTGCTGTTTCTGCAGAATTTATTGGCTTTTTATGATGGCCATTTAATTAGTTACTCTAACTCTCCAGACTTCTGGAAGCTTTGAGTAGGAGAGGGAATGTAAGCTCAGCTGTATTTCTCATGTGTCCTATGTGAACAAATATTCATTTAATCCACTGTTCTGTATATAATATGTATCTTGGAGCCAGGTTTGATAGGGATGGATTTGAGGATTATAAACTTGGGTTTAAAAAAGTAATATTGATATAGACACAATAATTTGGTATTTCTCTTTATAAATATGTCTTAAAAGAAGTTAGTAATTTAAGATTAATCAGTAGAACAAGAATTTTCTGCAGGTCACAATAGGAGTAGGACTGCATCAGCTTAATATTGTCAAAGACCAGATAAAGTAGATTTGTAAAAAAAAAGTTACCTTTTCTCTCTTTTGCTAACTCCTAGTATTTTTTCCTTCTCATATCACTAAGTAAAGACTGTTTGATCATCTTATTAATTCACTGATTTATTTAGATAATATATATTAAACACCTATAAAATTCCCATTAGTATAGCGGGGACTGAGCGAGGATCTATAGATGAAAACTTTGTCCTTACCTTCAGAGAGTCCATAGTTTAGTCCGATGCTAGCAGATACTCTTTAAAATGGCAAAATATTTATCAGGTAATAAATACACATTGCTGAAGAAAAAGCAAAGAAACTAAAAACTCCTCCCTGCATAGCTTATTTATTGAAGAAACTAGATCAATACTGTTTTCAAAATTTTTTTTATTACTTTATTGTCTTGAGTTTCCTACTATCTAGATTTTGCTCATTACACACATGTGATATTCCTCTTTGCTGTATTTCCTGCCATGTGGTAGCTGACTGAAGAATTGGTCAAATTTAGGTTTGATTTTTTTTTTTCTGGTGAGACTACCTTATAGCTCGCTATGTCATGGTATTTATTTGTCACTTTTTTTTTTTTTGATAACCATTAATGTCTATACCAGGACCCAGTAGTGTTTGCTAGTGATATTCTGGTTTTCTCATTCCTTGTTTCTTAGCTGGAATATTTCTATAGTTAGAAATTTCCTGTCATGTATTATGTACTTGGTTACAAAGTGGCACTTTTGTGTAGGAAATCCAAAATAGCTGCTTATTTTAATTCTCCAGCTTTCAAAATACTGAATTATCTCCTTATCCTCCTCTATAGGTGATCATGCAGGCTGTTCTTTTTAAAATCCTTAATTAATTGGACTTAAACAATTTTATGTTTTAATACATTGCAGTTATTATTCCTACTGATACTCAAGTTGTCATTTTTGACTAATGTGGGGCCCTTTAGTTGGCACCTGAATCCTTTTGACATCTCCTCAGTAAACTTTGATGGTGTACTTTCTGTTTAGTGTGACAATATGGTCCAGGCTCATTTTGAACATTTTCTGCCCAGACCCGGAATAACCATTTCTCCAGGACGCCCTGGTTTCTAGTAAAGGAAAATGTTATTTCAAGAGCATAATCTGATCATGTGCTAAAAATGGACATTCATTATTTCTATGTTTTTAGTGGACAGAACAAGAGAATTAAATACATATACAGATAAATAGGTAGACAGGTAGGTAGGTGACTGGGTGGGTGAAGGGAGCAAGGGAGACAAATGGGGGAGAGACTTTTAAATTTATTTATTTTTAGATAAAGTATCTTATAGGTTTATACTGATACTTGTAATTCAAGTTCAGGAGTGCAAGGATTTTACTCAACCTTAGAAACATCTGTAACTCCATTTTTCCACACTGAGAAGGCTCTTCTCAAGGACACAGAAGATAATGGAATTAGAATGTCACGTAATTACTCATTTGCTTCATGCCACATTACATACATAAAAACCTAAGGTAATACTACTAGTACTACCACCATTAATATGATTACCAAAAATATTTTAAAATTGTTTTTGCATAACATTTTCCACTTACTGTATTTATAATGTAAATACTGCATTAACATTGTCAGAGTATATAGCCATTATATGCTGAGCTCTCTCTAGTCTACATTTAAGTTCTATAAGTAAATACTTATTTATTGTTTTCAAGTCCTTATGTTTCTGCTTCTTTCTGATCACTTGGGTTGACAAAGTTTTTCTCCATTAACATTTCTTAGGAAGAGCTCATGGGAACAATATTGAGTTTCTGCATATTGATGACCTTTGTGTCTTATATTTGAAAGTCAGTTTGACTAGATATAATGTTTTTGGTTTACATTTTCTTTCCATTGAAGTGGAAATGTGTTACTCTACCTTCTACTGGCATAAGGTGTTACTGTCAAAAAGTCTGATGGCAATTTGATTTTCTTTCCCTTAAAAATATATATTCTGCCTAGATACTCAAAAACATTTTGTTTTTTTCCTTGAAGCCTAATAGTTTTAGTACAACTAGTAAAATCCCATGTTGTAGTAATGGTCATTTTCAGTTAATTTTCCTAAATAAATGGATAATCTTTCCAATATGTATTGTCAATTTTTTTGGAAAGCTTTCTTTTAAACTGTAGTTTTGCCAGGTGTGATACATGGCCTGTAATACTAGCACTTGGGAGGCTGAGGCAGGAATATCACAAGTTCAAGGCCAGCCAGGCCACCACAAGTTCAAGGCCAGCCTGAACTACGTAATGAAACCTGTCTCAAAAACACAAAAACAAAAACAAAAAAACCTGTAATTTTGTTCAAAGAACAAACAAACAAACATCTTCCCACCATTATTCATAATGAATTAATCATTTAGTACAGGTAATAATATGGGAAAAGACTAAAACATTACCTACTAACTATGAAAATAATTCCCAAGGTTAAAGAAGTCTAGGACTTACTACTATGAAATAAAAATTCCATGTTACCACTTTACAGTACCTATTAAATATTTTAAAAACTTATTTACAATAAAACTTTCTTCAGTGTTAGTATAGTCTTGTGAATTTTAGCACAATCACAATTTTCATCTATTATTTCTTCAAATATTTTTTCCTATATCACATTATTTTTCCTCATCTTCTAGAAATCATATGATACAAAAGTTAGACCTTGCACTCTTGGCCCTCATTCTTTTTTTTTTAATAACTTTATTATCACACACACATACAAAAAAACCATTAAAAGAAAAACAATGGAAGGGGGAAAAAACTACAATAATATTTAAATGCAGTGGAACTCAACCAAAACACAACTGAAAAGCACTTAAACATTTTTCCATATAACTTAGAAAAGCATCTCAAGCACCAACAAGACACCAGAGGATGTGATTTGTTTCAGAATGATCCCCAAAACCAAAACTGAACAAATAATGATCTGGAAAAAAACTCCAGTTAGTTAGCAGACTCCACATAAGCCAAACTTCTCCCTAATTCAAATTTCGATCCAGTCATATGACACGCGATAGAAACACAATCTGAGAAATATGTTATTGGGCAATTTCATCCATGAGTATCCTTATTTACACTTTCAGTTTCTCACACCAGAGAAACTTCGGTATTTACACGTGTCCTATTTATTTCACTTAAGAGGATGGCCTCAATATGTATCCATTTAGCTATAAATGTCTCTAGTTTCTCATTCTTTATGGCTGAGTAGTACTCCATTTTATATAAAACCCACATCTTCTTTATCCACTTTCCAGTCAATGGGCACTTGGGCTGTTTCCAAGCTTTCACTATTACGAACTGTGTCACTATAAACATGGGTGCACATATATCGCTGTGATATGATTCTTTTAATTCTTTTGGGAAGATACCCAGAAAGGGGATAGCTGGGTCGAATGGGACCTCTATTCCTAGTTCTTTGAGGTATCTCCATACTGATTTCCACAGTGGTTGCACCAGTCTGCCCTCCCACCAACAATGGAGAAGGGTTCCTTTCTCCCCACACCCCAGCCAGCATTTGTTATTGGATGATTTCTTAATAGCAGCCATTCATTCTAGGGTGAGGTGGAATCTCACTGTTGTTTTCATCTGCATCTCTTGAATGACCAGTGATGTTGAACATTTTTTCATGTATTTATTTGCTGCTTTTACTTCTTTGTCTGAGAAATGTCTGTTCATTTCAGATGCCCATTTTTGAATTGGGTCTTTGAATTTGGGGGGTCTGATTTTTTTCAGTTCTTTATATATTCTAGATAGTAGTCCTTTGTCTAAGCTACAGTTGCTGAAAATTTTTTCCCGCACTGTAGATTGTCTCTTAGCTCTGTTGGTGGTTTCTCTTGCAGTGCAGAAGCTTTTGAATAAAATAAGAACCCAGTTGTTGATTCTTTATGCAAGTTCCCGTGCCACTGAGGTTTTGTTCATAGTCTTTTCCTATACCAATATCTTCAAGAGTTCTACCTAACTTATCTTCAAGCAAATTTAGTGTTTCTATCCTAATATTTAAATCTTTAATCCACCTTGATCTTAATTTAGTGCATGGTGATAGGTATGGGTCTAATTTTAATCTCTGGCAGGTTGAAATCCAGTTTTTCCAACACCATTTATTAAATAGGCTATCTTTCCTCCAATGAGGGTGTTTGCTCCTTTATCAAAGATGAGGTGGGTGAGTATGTTTGGAGTTGTTTCTGCATCTTCTGATCTAGTCCACTGATCCTTGGGTCTGTTTCTTTGCCAGTACCATGCTGTTTTTATCACAGTAGCTTTGTAGTATAGTTTCAAGTTGGGAATTGTGTTACCTCCTACCTTGTCTTTGTTGCCTAGAATTGCTTTGGCTATTCTAGGTCTCTTCTGGTTCCAAATGAATTTTTGGATTTTTTTCTCTAGTTCTGTGAAATATATTGATGGAATTTTAATCGGGATTAAATTAAACCTATATAATAGTTTTGGAAGTATGGCCATTTTCACTATATTGGTTCTTCCTATCGAGGAACAAGGGGTGTCTTTCCATTTTCTTAAATCCTCCTCAATCTCCTTTTTCAAAGTGCTGTAGTTTTCAGTGTAGAGGTCTTTTGCTTCCTTTGTGAGATTGATTCCTAGATATTTCTTTTT